AAAAAATTGATCACAAACCAGTTTAATCCAGAAAATTAACATTGTGTTTGCCTTATCTTGCAAAAGTATTTAAATCAGAACCTCTTTTCGTATGCCTCAAGAAGATTTTTAATGGATTTGTTTCAGGGTATGATCCAGGGTTATTTACTCAGTATATTTATTGAAACAGATACATAACTGTCATAATTAAGAAGTAAGTATAATTTTGCCTTTTGTTTGAAGCTGAGTTGTTATGGCAGGCACCTCTTTAATGTGTGTGTGAGCCGATTTGGCTTAGCTGCTTTCCAGCTGTAAGCGCTGTCTGGCATGTACTGTGGTTTCGTTTATGTTTAGCACCTATAACTTAAAGAGAACTGCTGGAAATAATCGATGTTCAACAGTTACACATAAAAAGTGTGATTTACCCAAAACAGCTTTGGAAGGTCGCCTTTAGACAGCTGAAGTTTTGATGTCTAAGTCTGTGTTTGTCACCCTTCGTCGACTATATATTTAACAAAGAAAAATGGACAGTTGAGATAGGTCGGGTAAGCTACCTTCCAAAAGTTCTTATCTGAGATGAATTGCCATCCCAAAGTTTTTCCCACTGCCTACAAAGAGATTGCTCTGGGTGACAAGCTCAGAGTTACACCTTTAACTAATAGACCTCCTGTGCTAGGGCTAAGGAAACCTACCCACAAATCTGTTTGGCAGCAGTGGATCCCCGTGAGCACTGCGAACTCAAAAAATGCACTTTTTATAGTTCACCTGTAGTGAAGATGCACAGTCACTTACAGAAGTAGGGGAGAGACAGATTTTTCTTTATCTGACAGATTTTTCCTTACCTGATTAAAACCACAGAAAATTCATGGACCATTTTGCTGGGGACGTAGATTCTGCTGAATAGGTCTTAAAGAGAGTAAAGTATGAGTCCCAAAATGAGCCACTGTTATTGGACTTTGGTTCTTCTTTTTTTCATTTGGCCTTGTCCTGATGGCTCTCTCGCTGAAAAATATTTAGAGAGGTTACTGCAATTTGAATAACTCCTGAGCTCCTGGAAAGAGATGAAGAAATTCATCAAAACAGCACAGGGTTGAATGAGAAGCGACTTCATTTGCCTTAACCCAAAGACTTTTCCCAGTTTCCCATTGCTCATCAGCCAGCTCTGCACCAGACTCTCATGACACAGCTGTGCTTCCCTTCTTTTGACCTTGCAGTCAAGATCAATTTGCCTAAACTGCATATAGGTTACCCCTGTATATGATCGCAGAATTCATTTGGGATTTCGCCTTACAGTATTAAAATCTGTATTTCTATCTGTCTGGACAGATCTTTCCACGTGTCAGATTCGTCTAATTTGTAGCTCCCTCTGGTAAATGGGTCTATTTTGCAAGAGAACAGATCTTTCATTCCACCCCAGTTCCTCTCCATCTAACCAATTTAATTTATTGGTTTCTGTACTGAACATTTTTGCTCCTTCAGTGCAAATTACATTATTTGAAAGCCAGTCTTGGTGCAATGAGTCTTCCTAACATGCAAGCAAGCTTTAGAATTTAAACTCTTCCAAATAATGATTACTTCAGTAATCATTATTTTCATCTTTCTTTCCATCTGCTGTCTCCGCAGCATCCCTTGCTATTTTGTGTTATCAACAGTTTAACTAATTTATTCCCCAGAGTCTTACAGTGACATAGCAGTATTTCCAAAAACAGTGTCTAGAATGTTTATTGCACATTCTGCTGAAAGACAGAAAGGGAAGAAAAGGCAAAGCAAATGGAATCCTGTGTTTGTTTGCTTTAACGGCAGGACTTTTTTACAGTTAACAGAATATTTCAATGTGTAGCTTAGATCTGGTTCACTGGCTCATTAGGATGCTGATGAATTTTGATAAAATTCTTGACCTGTGTGAGGATTGTTCAGGGTTACAGATTCCTCTGTAATTCCCAAAAGTTAATGCAAACAGAGTCCAGCACTGCTGCAGCCCTGGAGTGTATTTTACCAGGATTCCACCAAAGTCCAGATAAGTGGATTTTTTTGTCAGAGATCCCACTTTTGTCACTTTTTGCCGGTCTCCCTGGGAGCATCAGGCAGCCACTGTTCTCACCCACAAGCACAAAGTGCGTGGCAGGTTGGCACCATAGATAAAACCACCCCACAAAATTAACATGAAGAGCTTGAAACTGGGGCACTATCAATGCACTGTGCAACCATGTAAAATAAGACTTCAGATAGACAAATTCTGATTAATTATGCAATAGCAAATTAACATGTTACCACCTCCAACTACCCATCTTCGATGGTCTGCTGCACGAGAATTAGGAGGACAGTGTCTACCCCAGGCCTCAGTGGTCCTTCTCCTGTGCCACAGCAGCAGCTCAAACCAACAGTGAGAGAGGGCTGGTACTATGTCAGACACTAAGCAAGAAAAAAACCAAAGAGAACCTTTATCCTTCTACAGTTGAAAAGTTATCTAGGCTCTAAAAATGGCAAGATATTAAGTGATAAGAGCAATCAACCTTTACTCAGTGCCTTCTTGGCTTTCCTTTTCCACACTAGGACTGTGACACAGTGAAACTTTGGAAGAGCTCACCTTTGGAACGGTGCTCTGCTGCGCACACCAACGTTAGGTGCTAGAGACCTGGATAAAGGACAAAGAGAAGTAACTGGAGGCAGGTGTTGGCAGATGATCTCGTCCACTTTAACTGGGATACAAAGGGAACTGGAGTGCCTCTTTAGAACAAAAAAAAGTCCTGTAAGCTTAGGGAAGAAAGTAAGGGCTGCTGGGCTGTGACGCAGCAAGCCATTAGGGCTCATCTTGATTTTAACTATCTGCCTAACTCTTTGCTCTTGCTTAAATCCCTCTGAAATCTGCAGGGTTTAGCACGTGTGTAGACGTGCCTTGCTGAATCAGCACTGTAGCTTGTTATCTGAATTGCTGCCCTATTAAACACAAACTGCAAAATATACACTCCATAAACTTTATTGTCATTACAATGCATTTTCATTTAACATTAAACTGAAGAGTCTGTCTGCCTCAGCTGGAGGCTCAGGTGGAACACAAGCTCTTTCGGCAAACTGAATGCTAGGCAACACCCCTGTTATGGCAGCTCTCTTCATATCACGAAAAAGAATCTGGGATCTAGACTCTTGTGTAAGATCTATGGACCTGTAAGCGCTAAACAAGAATATGCTTTATAGCCGAAAACTTAATTGTGCTCTGTTTGAGTAAGTGCACTCACTACATCAGCAGCCCTTAAGCAGATTATGACCCTCTCAGCTACAGAATTTCTACCACAGAGGTGGCTGGGGGCAAAGTTCAGAATTAATGTGGGGTTTGTATCATATATTATGCTGTCTATTATGCTAATATTAGGATATATACTTCAACTGTCTAGGAAAAAATATATTATGGTCTACTTTCAAATTATTCTTTCATTCAGTTGGTCAACAATACTTAATTTATGCCTTTTTTAAATTATTGACTATTTAGATCTGCAGTAAAAAACTTCGTAAATGACTTGTAGTTCTGTATAGTGCCTTTTAAGAAAGATTTTAAATAGCATGCTCTCTGTGTCTCATGTACTGCATAGAGCTCTGCTCATCTTTGTCCCAAACAGCAGCGACAGAGAAAGATGTAGGGACACGATGTAATTTCTCACAGGGAAGGTAATTTATGTTGTGAGTATGTGGAAGGTCATTTGTGAACAAATGAGTTGGCAGAAGTGAACCATTCAGTTTTGCTGTTTGTGCCTTTCCTTGTCATAGCACGTCAGTTCACAGCAACCTGGGACACGGGCACGCCTGTCCATTGCTCCCACTTCAACAACCCTGGCATTAAAGCTGTAGATCGCTGTTAACAGACTCTGTGCTGGGGACAGCTACTAAAAGACGCATTCCCTTGTTGACCAGCAGTAGTGCGGTTTGGCAGAGTTACTGGTGACCCGGGCTAAGTTCTGCATGCAAGGAGATGCCGGAGAGCCATATACTGCTTGAAAAGCAGGAGGGCACGAGTCCAAAACCAACAACAGCAATGCAAAATAGCTTCTCGTACATTTTATCACAAAATTAGCCTTATCATTTTCTCCACCTGGTCTCAAGTTCCAGACTAGCTCTGAAGGTGTTCACGTTGGAAAGAGTCTCCAGCAGCAGGAAATCTGCTAGAGAGACCAAAAAGAGGCCAACGTGATCTCAGAGTATGTGATGACTGCTGTGTGATAATACTTTCCAGTGTATCTGTCCTCTGCTTCTGTATAAAAAGTGTCTGTATGAGACTCAAATGCATAGATGCCTAATTGAAAGGGTTGGTTTTCACATTCATCTGTTCCTCAACGCAGTTTATCATGCTTCTGTACAAACATTTGTGCTGTCCCACTGCATAGGTGTTTGGGGATTTAAGCAGGCAGCTGGAGGCAAGGGGCTTTCTGTAACTGTCCTGTCCTAAACGTGTATCAGAACAAAGCCTCAGAGATTGAACCCGACAGTAAAGTGTCTTTCCCTTCCTTTGAATACTGCATAAGGAATTGCCACTGTCAGGCACAATATGTCTTATCTGTAATTCACAATTTCTTATGGGTATAGGTGAATCTAATCTTAACTCGTAATCCTTTTCAAAGGTTTATACCAATTCTAGGTAAGCTGCCAGGATCTCAAGTACAAGATTTATAACCTTTCCTCATAGAAAACGTGAAATGAGCTTTTATGAAGTAGGAGTATTTAAGTTCTTTGTTTTCTCTTCTCAGTTTTCTTGTCTTACAGTTGATATCTTCAAGGTTTTCTACATAACCAACAGGATTAAAAACCTGCTTTAAAAAAGACACCCTTCAGACTTTGTCACAAAGATAGGATTTCAAGAGCTTTAACAGACGCACAGGCAGAATACAATGAATCTCATTGAAAACAGGATTGTGAAAGCTTGGCTTTGTGCATTTTGGCAAGCTCCCAACAGCACCGAGCGAACCTGACTCTGCCTGGCGTTGGGAGAAGCGCAGATGGGCACAGGGCGAGCTCTCACCTCCTCACGCTACCTGCAGTAGCCTCCCAGGTCCCGATGCTTACGGAGAAGCTCTCCCTCCCTGCACCTTTGGGGTGACGTGCAGGACTGTCGAACAAGAGCAGGAGGACAGGGAGCTGGGGTCTTCTCGCCTGCGGGCGAGCAGACACTACAAAGCCATGCGGGGACAAAAGCCGGCCCATGCAGAGACACAGCCCAGGCACGTGCCGAGTGGGGCTCCTCTCTTCCCGAAACAGAATCATCGCCCTCCCGGGAAGGGCAGCAAAAGTCTGAGAGGCTCCTTGTCAGCGGCGTGTGCCCAGAAGGTGTGGATATGGCCAGCGTCTTTCACCAAATCCTTCAGAATACAACTTTTACAATGAAATTGTTTTATTTTTCAGTTACCTAGGAACTACTGTCTGGGGATCACAAAGCTCTGTATTAGACTGTAATTAGATACATTTCACAACATCCCCAGGAGGGAAATCACTAATTACAGCAGTTTGTTGAAATTAAAGTAAGTATAATAATGGTTGGTACTGACTATGATATTATTGCAATCATGTATTACTACACTTCGGGCTATGATTGTATCAAATCTCAGAAGCCAAGAGGGCTGGGTCTGGCTGGCGTATGACTAGAGAATGTAGAACTGAACTAGGCATTTGCAGTTTCTTAAGAAGTCATGTGCTCGTAAATCACAAGTCATATTCATTTGGTCTGGAATAAATATTCTGGTGCTTTGGTGTTGGGAAACGCCCCAGAGCTTGAGAGGTTGAGAGGCTGTGTTGTGAGAGAGAGATAAAACCTACAGCCTGTCCTGATCAGCTGTAGCCATATAAAAATCTTGTGTTTTTATGGGACTGATAAATTTGCAAGACATTGATATTGGTTGTGGCAGCATGGAAAAATCCCAGCTCAGAAACTTGCATTTGCCTTTCAGCTGCTCATTAGAAACGTAAAATTTACTTTCTTCTCTTGCGTTTAAGTACCTTTGCGAAGCATCACTGACATCCGTGATGAGGTGTTTCCACTGCAGAGCCGGCTGCATCTCAGTAGGGGAAGAAGTCTCTTCACATGCAGGGACTATGAAGTCCTCTGTTAGGACAGATAATCCATTAATGTGAGATAACAACGTTTTGGTAAGGTAGTTTTAGGTTTTGCACAGATTAATTAAATGGTGTTTTAGCTTTTAACAAAAACGTATCAAATGTTATTTTTATTCCTTCTATCAAAAGTGAATTTTTTTTTAATGGATGTACAGAAGGAGGAGCCTGGTTGCCAAAAGACAGTAGAACTTCGCAGATCTGTGTAACTCACACAGTGGTCTGGGAGGACAGTTAGACTGCAGGAGAGCGAGCTGGAAGAGGCGAGGGTTTATTGGACTTCCTGCAGTCGCAAACTGCCTGCCGCTGGCCTAGCTGGATGCACCGCAGAAGTGGCTGCTGCACAGGGGACTTGGCCAAAGACTGGGATCCAGCCAGCCAGTGCCCAAGAGACCCAGCAGAGCGGCTCGTAGAGTAACTCCACGTTGTAGCTGAGGTGTAAAGCCGTACTTGGTGTTGTCGTTGGTAGCGCTGGCAGAGCTGTTGAGCTGAACTGTAGCATCATAAGTTCAGAGCAGGCTTCACGCTTGCCAAGGCGTAAGGTTTCGCAGCACAGCTGATGCCAAAAAAAGGGTGTCAGTCACCCCCTTCCTTAGCAACCATTTCTGGCCAACTGGTTCCTCCTTCCTGCTGTCCCCGGGGCCCTGAGCCGGGCCAGCCCTTCAGCCTGTGCCGCTGGCAGAGCACCTCTCTGCTGCCATCCCGGGGCTTCTCCTCTCTGCTTCCTCCTTGAACGCCATCCTTTGTTCTACCCAAAATGCCTCTAAGGTTCTGTGAGCGGGTACACACTGGGTGTAGGTGGCTGGGTGCTGGCAGCGGGGCTGCAGGGACAGCCTCTGCAAGGAGAGGGCAAACTCTGGCCACGCTGGGCAGCTCCAGCAGACCCACCGCAGAGCATGGCCAAGCCCCTCTGCCACACCAGTGGCACATCTGCAAAAACGGGGTTAAGGAAGGGCAAACCCACTGTGTAGCAGCGCGAGAGAGAGGAGCAATGGGGAAAGGAGAGAAGCAGCAGTGTGAACACTAAGGCTGGAGAAGACAGAGGGGACGGAGGTGCTGCGGGTGCTGGAGCAAGGGTTTCCCTGCGGCCCGTGGAGAGGACCACAGTGGAGCAGACACCCACCCTGCAGCCCATGGAAGACCTTGCAGCGGAGCAGGTGGGGGTCTTCTGCAGGAACTTGCGGCCTGCGGAGACCCCACGCTGGAGCAGCGCTTCTAGGACTGGAGGGCTACCAAGCTGATGAGGGGACTGGAGCATCTGTCCTATGATGAGAATCTGAGGGAGCTGGGCTTGTTCAGCCTGAAGAAGAGAAGGCTGAGAGGGAATCTTAGAAATGCCTATAAATATCTGAAGGGTGGGTGTCAGGAGGATGGGGCCAGACTCTTTTTAGTGGTGCCCACTGACAGGACAAGGGGCAACGGGCACAAACTGAAGCATAGGGAGTTCTGTCTGAACATGAGGAAGAATTTCTTCCCTCTGAGGTTGACGGAGCACTGGTGCGGGTTGTCCAGAGAGGTCGTGGTTTCTCCTTCTCTGGAGATATTCAAGACCTGCCTGGACGTGGTCCTGTGCAGCCTGCTCTGTGTGACCCGGCTTTGACAGGAGGGTTGGACTACATGACCCACAGAGGTCACTTCCAACCCCGAACATTCTGCGATTGTCTAACAATCTCCCGCTAGCTGCAACAGTCCACCCCCCGAAATCAAGAA